CGTCGGCGATTTCCCAGAGATTGGGAAACTGCTTCTGCAAAGCTTCCAAAACAAGCCAGGTCACTGTCTGGAAGACACCGGAGACCAGCAGGGTGTGCATGCTGTCGTGGCAATACTGTGAGACCGGCCGGACCAGCCATCGTTGATCCTCTTGTTGCAGCAGGGAACAACTATTATAAGTCCAGCCGGTGGCTTGCTGCCACGTGCTGAAATCTGCAGCATTCAGAAGCATCTTCTTCTCTGCCAGTTTAGCCATGGCCTCGTGGATGGATTGGTCGGTCGCAAGCGAAAGCTTACTTTCTCGGATCTCAGAGGAACCGACCACGGGGAGCCCGCTGCTGTGCAGGATATCACATCGTTGTGCTATTACATTCCTGCACAGCATGCACATGCGGGTGCCAGCATCCCCCTTGCAGCTCCATAGAGCTTTATGGGCACCACCGTCTTGAACGATCATTGACAAAACCACCCGGAAGAGGACGGGCGGACCTCCTGGTCGCTGCAACGATATGCACCCGTGCTCCAAATGGTTGGCCGGCCGCATGAATATGTCTCGCAGGATTTTCGAGATCCATTGAGAGACACCTGCTTCGGCCTTGGCCATCAGGCTGGATCGGAGCAGTCCTATGCATAGCCACGACTCCTCGTGCTGCAATGCATAGCTTCCAAGTTCTACGAACGAGGCATAGCAAGCCCAGATTTTTCTCTTCGTCTGGACTGCCAAAGGATTACCCGGCACGATCTCGTCCGTATAGAGGATCAGCCGCCATGCCGAGCTGGGGCTCGGAGGATTCTTGTCGATGCACGCCCAAAAATATTGGGCGAAGTTGCTGTCGGCATCCGAGATAGCAGCTTGCAGCAGAGCCCAAAAATCGACACTGGGTATCTGCAGCTCTGCACCATCTGTCTGCAAAAGTGACAGACGATTGAGGATCCTATTCTCTTTCAGGGGTTGCCAGGCAGCCTCGGCTATATGTTTTCTTTGTGTGAGTTCCGGGACACCCTCGTCCCGCAGAACTTTGCAAACTTCGGACAAAGCCGAGGCTGTGAGATGGGGCAATTTCCTTCTCAGAGCATTCACCTTCTGAAGCTTCGCTGGTCTTTCAGCAAAAGCATCGGTGCTGCTGGAGGCCATGGCCCTATATCACCACGGCACCGCACCAACAGCAAATGCCGGAACATCTCCGTGGAGAGTTCCTTCTTCTCCCTGTGCCTGCAGCAGCAAGCAGCCACATACACGCCTCCGTGGAGGCTTCCACACGCCTCCGTGGAGGCTCCCACACGCCTCCGTGGAGGCTTCCACACGCCTCCGTGGAGGCTTCTCGCATCCTTGGATGCTGGGTCTCCATGGCAACAACAAACCAAGCTACAGGACGGGTGACACAACAAATGGCCCCAGGAAGGGGTGCCTGTCTGCGAACACAACTGCACCAAACCTTGTCTGTGCTCGACTCTGGGCATCTGTATGCATGCTGCACGGCTGCTTGGGCCCTGCTTTCCGCTGCTCAGAGAACACATTTCGGCAGGCCCACAAAACCCTCAAAATATGATATAGAAAAAACTATATCATATGAAAACAAAGTCAATCATATGATATAGTAGAAACTATATCATATGAGGCCAAAATATTACATATGATATAGAAAAAACTATATCATATGATATCTGGCCCCACAGACTCATATGATATAGTAGAAACTATATCATATGGCAAGCGATGCCATCATATGATATAGAATATGCTATATCATATGGTTTCCTTTCAATATATATGATATAGAAAAAACTATATCATATTTTCTACGTTTGAATAAGGTTCCAATCTTAAGGATAACCGAAATTTATTCTTAAAAAAAAAACCCCTAAACCCTAAACCCTAGAAGAGAAAAAAGCGCGGAGACACTCTTTTTTTCACCAGACGGCAGCCGGCACTCTGGTTTTTCGGAAGACGGCAGGCGGCTGCCGAGCTAGTACCGCTGCCGAAGCTCCTGGCAGGCGATTTGGAAAAGGCGTCACCACTTTCCCGTAGGAGCTCCCAGACCCTCCTTCCGGATCGTCCGGGTCCTTCTTGTCCGGCATTGGGACGTGATCATCGTCCCGTACCGGCGACTCCTGTCGCTTACGTTTGGCCTTAGCCTTGCTGCCCTTAGCCTTGCTGCCCTTCTTCTTGTCCTGGCCGGTCTTGCCAGCCTTAGCTGGCAAACTCCTGGGCAAAAGCTTCACCGGCTTTCGATCCTCTTTGTCATCCTCGGGCTCAATCAGGGAGATTGTCTCTCCTGCCCCGGGCTTTTTTCTCTTCTTCGTGCCCTTAGCCTGCTCAGGACGGCCCTTCTCAGCTTCGGTATGGGCCTTGGCCCCCGAGGGGCCGGAGCCGCCTCTCACATCACCATAGCCATATCCCTGGCCCTTGTCGCCATATCCCTGGCCCTTGTCGCCATATCCATGGCCCTTGTTGCCGGAATCCCGCCGCAGCTCCCACCTTGGGACTTCGGATTCCTCTTCGCTCTCCTCTTCCCTCCCGGGCTGCCAGTGCTCCTGGAACCGGCGCTTTGCCCGGCCTGCAGCAGCCTCCTTGCTGAGCCCTTGGGCTATGTATTTCCAATCGGTGAAACACCGACAATCGGTGCTGGCGCCGCATGCTCCTGTATCCACCTCCAGCAAATGGGGCACTTTTTGGACGGGCCCTTGGGCCCGTCCGAAGGCTTGTTGTCCTTCTTCTCATCTGCTGCCTTCTCATTTGCCCCCTTCAATTTTTCATCCACCTCCTTGTCCTTTTTCTCTGATCTCTCTCGTTCGCTTTTCTTTTTCTTCTTCTTCTTCTCTTTTTTATCCTTCTTTCCCTTTTTTTTATCCTTCTTTTCCTTTCTGGCCTGCTCTTCTTCTGCCCAGGACTGGAGAGCTGCCTGGGATGCCGCGACCCTGGCTGTTGCAAGCTTTCTCTCCAGCCTCTGCCTGCCGGCGGCACTTATCGGCCATTCAGCAGTCTTCTCATCCAGAGAAGGGACTCTGGGCTTCGAGGCCGCAGCCTCCGAGGCCGCCTCCTTTGGCTTCGAGGCCGTAGCCTCCTCCGGCTCCTCCTCCGGATCCTTTTCTTTGTCCTCGGACTCAGTTGCCTCCTCGGAGGCCACAGTTTCCTCCTCAAGTTCTCCTCCTCCTCTTTCTTGTTCTCGTTCTCCTCTGGCTTTTTGTTGCCATCCTCCTCCTTTTTCTTTTGGTCCTCGGACTCTTCGTGAGATCTCGACCGTGGTCGAGGATCTCGTCGTTCTTCTCTATCCTCTGAGCTCGAGCTCCTCCTCCTTCTATCCTGGTCCCGGTGCTTGGGCATGGCCGACGACTTCGCCTGGCCAGGACAAAAAAAGGGTTTATAGAGGATCGGGGAGGGTATAGGGTTTAGGGAAGATCCCTTAAGCCAGACTCTTTTTAGCACATGTATATATATATATATATATACATATAGTATTTGGTGCATGCCGTGGCATGCACCCACGAGGAAACCGTGGTCTCCTCTCCCAAAGCAAAGCAAACCGTGGTCTGCTTGCTTTGCATGCTTGCCAGCAGATGCAAACAAACCTTGGTCTGCCTGCATTCTGCCGGCCAGCACGGTTGCCGAAAAGCAACCCATGCATGCATCACTGACTAAGCAAACCGTAGTCTGCTAGCCAGCTCTGCAGGAGACCGTGGTCTCCTCTCACAGACAGATGGCAAACCGTGGTCCACCACAATTATAAGGAGACCGTAGTCTCCCGGCTTTGTCCAGGAAACCGCAGTCTCCCGGGCTGCCTATAGTCTATAGTTATATATCTATATCTGTATATATGTTTCGTTTGAAAGAAACTTAAAAGGATCCCTTGCCTGGCCTCGTAAAAAAGGCCAGCCCCCATCCAAGGGCTCCCTACAGGAGCCCAAACAGCTGCAAACACCGGCACAAACTTCACAACCTGCACATGCGAGGCTACAAGTCAAACAACTGCATGCACATGAGACAACAAGGCTTTGCATGGTTTTCCTGAAGCAAACGAACCTTCAGTTCACTAGCACCCCAGGCTTCCTCCGTTTGGAGGACTGCCCCTGGCTTTTTGCTGCCCTTTTGGCAGCCGCAGTCGCCTCAGCCTCCTGCAGCGGCAGGGGATCCAAGGGCCGGGCCTTGGCCCCGGCTTTTTTGACAAGCGAATACCTTCTGTCGTCGCCTGTCCGTTGAGCCTGGCGGCCTTGGCCGATTTTCACGACTTTGTCCTTCGCAGCAGTTCCCTTAGGAAAGCTTTGCCGTGCTCTAGTCTGAAAAGACTCAGCAGTAAGCACGGCATTTTGTGTTGCTTCAAAGAACAATGCCATATCATCCAAGTGGACTTTGGGCACATCCGTGACATGGCCCGCCTCCAGGACACGGATCTCCTTTCCCATCCAGGTAACCTTCAGCACATTCTTTTCTGCTCTTGCTTCCCTGGAAGCACGGCGGGACAAGCGAGTCTTCGCTGCTTTTCTCGGAGAGCTGCCTGTTACAGACACTAGAGCAGCCTCGCTGTCTTCCCCGCCGAAAAGGCCAGAGCTCTGTTCTTTAGTTTCTCTGCCTGCCGCTTGGACTGCTGCTCCTTGGAGGCATCGTTTCGGGAGCCCACGAGCGATAGATAAACATCGCTCTGGGACAACGATGACTTTGCCGGGTATTTTGGCAGTTTTATGCTATGCTGCTTAGAAAGCAGCTTGCACAAGCCCGGGCTCCATGGACGAAGTACCACAAACGGACCATGGTCCGTTGGTTCTAGCTCCTTGTCACCCACAGTCCAGCTGGCACCATCCAGCTTCAGGACATATACTCTTTCGATTACCAGCGGCATTGTACCTATATTAGCCTTGAGCCGAACTTTATGGAAAGATCAACAACACGTGCCTGCAAACCATCCTTGAATTCACACTTGCAAAAGCGCCAAAAAGTTCCATTGCAGACATCAACCTTGGCTCCTTTTCCCGGAAAACTCAGCAAGCGAGAACTGTCGAGTAACTCAAGAAGCCTTTCGCTTTCGCGAGGCAGCGGATCCTTGATCCAGCTCTTGGGCCGAGGCCCTCAAACTTTCGGCAGGCTTCGGCCTGTACAGGATGCACTCCTTCAGCGAAGCAGTGTTCTTCAAAATGGGAATCTTCCAGCCCTTCTCGTTCAGAAGGACTGTCGCCAGATTCGGCTCTGAGCCGACCGGGATCTGCCAGAAGGCAGATAGCAAACTTCCGGCTGCAGCCGGGGGTGAAATATACAAGCTTGTGCCCGAGGCCGAATGCCAAACCTCCACACTGCCAGCTGCCGGCTTTAAGCCAACCTTTGAAATCTGATCCGTGAAGGGGAAGATCGTCAGCTTGCCTGTCTTGGCTTTGCCCTCCAACAGACAGCACGTGGGAGTCTTCAAAAAGGTCAACTCCTCTTCACAGTGCGAGTACTTCAGGAAATACTCGCAGCAGAGCTCGAAGAAGTCTCGTGCATCTCCGCTATACAGATCGAAAAATTTCTTGAGCTCGCTCAGAGGCACCTCGACCTTCTTGTCCCAGCTCACTGGGCAAGACAGCGAGAAAGAGCCGTGGCACTGGCCGATTTTCTCCAGCTTCCAAGGACAGATGTCCTGATACTTCTGCTTGCCAATGTACAGGTTCCCCACTGCGAAGCCTTGCAGCTTCATCAGGAAGGCCGGGTCCTGCATGTTCTCCAAGGTCGCAGGGGCCGCATCAGACGGCCCATCTTTTGTAGCAGCAGCCGGTGTTGCACCGGCACTCTTGCCACCCATCTCGTGTTCGTACAAAGTCAGCAAATTGGCCAATGACCCGTGCTCAAGGCCTTCTTGCCCCGACTTCTCTTTCTTGCACATGAAGAGGGTGCTGCGAACCATCAGGCGACCGAAGCACTCAACTGCCTTGGCACGTGCACTTGCATCCGTCACATTCTGAGTGTGAGCCCAGGCACGAGCAAGAAGCTCCTCCCAATCCTTTACAGCATCTTCCATGCCTTTCGCACAGAGCCTGCTGACATCGCTCTTGCTCAGCAGCCGAGCCACACCGTCTACCACTTTTGTGGCTGTCAGGTTCGTCGCGATCATCGCAGCCCTTGCGAAAGCATGCGATCGCTCCTGCCCTGCAAACCGGAGGCCGGCGACCGTGGACATGAATTCCTCTCCCAATCTTTTGCTTGCCCCATATTTCAAGGAAAAGTCGTGCAAAAACTTCAGCAGAGGTGCTTCGGTTCCTCCTGCATAGAATCTGCAGAACAACCCGCAAGCGGCCACGGTCTGTGGCGAGGCATCCGGCACCGTGGCTGCTACATCAGCTTGCACAACATCCCAGTCGATGCACAAACCTTGCTCTGCCAGCAACTTTGCTCGGGTCACCATCGCCATGGCGAGCTCCAGCTCGCCTGCCGTTCTTGCAACTCCTTGGGCTGCATTCATGACTTCCTGAACGAAGGAGGCCAGCGAGGGCAGTACTGCATCAACTTCCGCTGACAGCACCAGCCACTCCCATCCATTATCCACGGCCTGCCGAAAGTCCGTAGACAATCGCTGCAACGTGAGCTTGCCGTTGTCCGACACCGTCTCTTGGTCCGAGGGACATGCTGCAATGCAGGCACGGCAAAATGCCGTAAAGTGACTGCATGCTAACGACATGTATCGCTCATCGCCTCGCACCTCAGCTAGCAGCCCTCCATTCATATCCACTTGCCGCTTGTTGAAACTAAAGGCCTTTTGGCTCAGAGCTCTATCCGTGGATATTTCCATGCAAACACTTCGCTTCAGCTCCATGGAGCTGAAGCCTACAGATTGCACTTGGGCCCCTGTCTTGTGAACTTGGGCTCCATTCAATCCTAACCCTGAGCGATTCGACGGGTGCACCAGGACTTGACCCGGCCGCAGCACCTGCCTGTAGCACTTCCTGCTCTCCTGCAGGATAGTTTCGATCTCCGTCCATCTCTCCAATGCCGGAGCATCTTTCTTCAATGCCTGCTCCACGGCCGTAGCCCAGGCAGGCTTCATCTTTTCCAAGTTCTCTTGAAAAAAACGGCTGCATGGCAACAGGATATGCATTTAATTGTCCGCCCTGCCCCCCCCTGTATACATGCACCCTTGAAACACAAGTCATTTACGTGCCTAACATAGTCATTTCCCTATATAAGAACTGTACTTCAAAAAGTTATGTTAACTTAGCTAAACTTTAGCTAAACCCCCTAACCTTTGTAAATGTTTAACATACTTACACCACTTATGTAAACACTTAGCTAAGTCTCTTAACAGTTGTATTTGTTTATCACACTTATAAGTGATTTGCAATATAGATACAACCGGGTTGCAAGCTATTTAACAACATGCTTGCAATCTATATAAACACTTACAAAGCCACGGTTCTTCCCAGTATAACTGTCAGTGCCAGTTATGGTTGACCAAGCAGCACGCATTTATGCGGCTGAGTCGCCAGAGGCGCCGTACCCTAGGAGGGACGGTCAGGAAAATAAGTTGGCAGCGCCACAATGCCTGCAACGCGTGCGACAGTGTCGCTCCTGCCTCCGCTTTTTGCAGTGCAATCCAATATTTGTGCTAGAGCAGGCCATGCGTGAAGAAATGGCACAACAGGAGATAAGTTATCTCCTTTGGGCCCTCAGTTGCGCCATGCGGGTAGACCCCGCGGTCGTCAGCGACGACCACGAAGCCCTCAATCGAGCAGGGGAAGGGGAATCCAAAGTTTGGCCCCCCTTCTACCCTTTTGCGCAGATGCAGGGGGAACAACCGGACACTTCAGGCAGTGCCTATCCGATGCACCGGTATACTATGTCGCAGCGCGACGTGCCTATGCGGCCAGCGGCCACGCCTGGCTGGCCGTATACCGCCCTTTTTGACTGGCCCCCCAGTGGGGAGGAAGACAATGTACCCAAGCTCCAGTGGAGACTTAATTGGGTGGATGCCCTAGAGGGCCACGTGGCTGCTAAGGTTGAAGCCAGCGGCTTCCAATGGCACCCAGAGGGTAAGGGCAAAGGCAAGGGTGGTTGGGTCAAGATTCTCGCTTCGGAGAAGAAAAAGAAAAAGACTCACAAGACTGCCAGCGGCAGTACTGACCCTACCGCCTCGTCCAGCACTGCTCTGCCGACAGCGTCGGCCAGCAGCCGCCCCTGCTAAGCCTGTTTCGGCCACAACAGGCAGCCCGCCCTCCGCCGAAGCTGCCGGCGTCGCCCCGCCAGCGGCGGAGCCCGTCATTGAAGTCATCGACACTGACAGTGATCAGAACTCGGGAGACTCCGAGGTGTCCTTGGCTAGCAGCCAGGCCGCAACGGCAGTGCCGTTCGCGCCGAACGCGAACACTGTGGTCGTGTCCAGACCGCAGCGTCGTAATCGCCAGCGAGGCTGGCAGTTTCAGCCCGACGTGCACGAATGGCCCTACTGGGCAACCCAGACTCAGAGAGATGGGAGAAATACCCGGAGAGGCGTGGCGACCTCATGTGTTGCATGCCTTGCGCGCAGCAGGGCTGCATCTCCCAGGGCATGGCGATTTGTGGGCGGCACTGCTCAGTGGGCAGGAGCCCCCACAATCATCACGAATGCGAAAACTGCTATCGCGGTGGCCGGGGTCAGCGACCCAGAAACCGCGGCGTCAGGGGCGGCCGCCGTTAGGCGTTCAGTGCAGCGAGTAGCTGCTGGCCTCTCAGCGAGTCGCCCCCTGTTGGTGCAGTGCACCTCTTTTTGGTACGTGCCGCCGACAGCTCGGCAGCCTCTACAGGGCGGGCGTCTCCGAGGTACTTGGAACGTCGCCCACAGCGGCGGGCCGACGGCATGCTTTGAATGGTGGCAAAAGATCGCCGCTAGTGTGCTTCAGTCGTGTGTCACGCGAGCGTGGTAGGTCTCTTCAGCTGTGTCAGCTTCTTAAACCGTGTCGGTTCTCAAGCAGTGCTTTCTTCCCGCAGCCTTTTCAGCTTAGTAAGTCGCCCCCCGTGCCCAAAACAACCCCGCTTTCAGCGGAAGCCTCTGTCTGCCATCAGAGATGGCGAACCCTACAAATGAGCAGATGCTGCAGGCGCTCAGCGCAGTGCCGGAGGCCCAGACGGCCGCCCTCTACGAAGCAGCCGTCTCCCTATCAGAGATAGGGGACGTGGTAGTGGATGCGGCAGAGGCAGCGGAACTCGCTGGTTGGACGAAGCCCGCCAGTGGCGGCGCAGAGGCCAATGCAGTCGCGCTGCAGCGACTCTTGCTCGGCTACGAGCCCCCAGTGGTGCCGGCAAACACCGAGCCACCAGTGGCGGCACGTGGTGTCTCTTCCGACGGCCACCGCAGTTTGCCTCTGACGACGGCTGCAGCGCAGGCCTCGCAACACCGCTCTCCGACCAGTCCCGCTGAGGAAGCGGGGTCTAGGAAGAACCGCTTCCAGCGGAAGCTCCCCCGGCAGCGCCGGACCCAGCGGGCGGCGGGATGCAACTGAAGATGACCGAGGCTCCCGCTCGGAAGAGTCGGAGTCAGAGAGCGACTCCCCGCCGCCGCCAGCGCAACCGCATCCTCCTCTTGAGGGCAAGGTCGCTCGCAAGTCCTCAAGCCCGGCAGTGCCGGCTCCCGAGAGGACCCAGGCGCCACCAACCCCGCAAAGGCCGCCGCTCCGCGCCATCTCAAGCGGCCCCCCCCACCGCCAGTGGCACGTCGTGGGGAGAGCTCTCGCCCGCGTCCCTGCCAGCAGGCCCCGCGCAACAACCCTGCTGCCGTCGCTGAGACCCGGGCCAGCGGCCCGGCAACAGATGATCACCCTGATCAAGACGATCAGGCAGAGCAGCCGCCAGAGGCGGAGCTGAAGCGTGTCTTTGCATGTTCAGTCTGCGACAACGAGCAGATGAACATCTGGAACGACCCCTCTTCCGAGTTCGTGTGCAGTGCATGCGGCGAGCTTCACGCTTTCAAGGCAGCAGTGCATGCCTATGAACAGCCCAGCGCCAGTGGCGCGGTGGGGCAATTTACCCACGATCGCCACAGCAAGGCCTGGCAGTGTCCAGAATGCGGCGTGATGCATTGCACACGCTGCGCCAAGCAATACTCTTGCCCAGGCACTGTCCCGCGGACAGACGGCAAGCTCGAGTACACGGGCGATCGCCGCCCTACTAGGGGGCCGCCCGAGTCCCTTCGGTTGACCTTGGAGCGCGAGGCAGCCGAAGCCCGTGAGCGCGAGCACCGCGAACGGGAGGCCCGCCGCAGAGACGGCAAGGGCAAGGGCAAAGGCAAGGACCAGCGGTCCCGCCGTGACGACGAGGACCGGGAACAGTGGTCCGGTGGACAAGAGCCTCCCGCTGCTCACCGGCCTGTCTGCGGATCGCAGAAGGCAGGTGCAGCGCACCTTCACAAACGGGCTCAGCCCAGACACTCGCACCGCGAGGTCGGAAAAAGAACACCGCAGGTTGCGCGTGCACACAGACCTTGTAGGGCTGCAGTTTCTTTTGCCTAGTAGGTTTCAATGCAGTTTCCCAAGACCTGGTAGGTCCTCTGGAGGTAGCACCTAAGTGCATGCCACCAGCGTCCTCCAGTGCGTGATCGCCGCAGCCTTTTAAGCCTCACTTCCCTCCCAGCTCTCTCTCCCTCCTCTCCTCCCTCAGGACTGCCCGGGGAGGGTGCGGGTCGCAGCGCGTCGCTTGAGTTGAGCCTTACTGAGTCAGTGCGCTTGTATCTGTGTGCTGGTAGCCCGTTCCTTGCAAGCTGCCTCTACAACAGCCGTTGGCTTGAGCAGTGCTCCTCTTCCTTGTGTCAAGGATGCTGCCCAGGGGCAGCGCCCCGGAGGGCGACTTCAACGACCAGGTTAGTAACCTCTGGTCGTCAATACCACGCAGAGCCGGTGCTCGTCAGCCGTGGGAATCAGCCTCATGGTTTGCGCATAATGCGAGCTGGCCCTGGGAGCTGTCAGTGACACGCCCCGCTTCTGTGGGTCCCGTGCCAGTGCTGCACGAGTCCAGCCTGATGCTCAAGCGGAAAGCTTCCGCTAGCATCCAGCCGCTAGTAGCGGAAGAGATGGCTTTCGCACTTAAGGTGTGCTCCCGTCGTACAGCGTACGAAGGCGACCGCCGCGACAGCGCGGTTTTCAAACTCACGGCGTTAGTAAAAGCATGGCCAGACGCCTTCGAGATCGTCTCACAGTGTGCCGACGAGGTTGGTCGCGTCGACCTGGACGAGCTCGACTTCAGCATCGAGGCAGCGCTCAGCTACAAGGCTACCAACACAGTTGTACGCCGCCTCAACTCTCTCAGCAATTTTGTCCAGTGGGCAAACACGCAAAACCCAGTGGTGGTGCCCTTCCCAGTGTCCGAGCGCGCCACTTGGCGCTACATCCAGTGGATGATGCGCAATGGGAAAGGGGCTAGCAGCCCCTCGAGCTTGATTCAGAGTCTGAACTGGTGCTCGGGAGTCTTCGGTCTGTCCTTCGAGTCGGAGGTGACCAGCTCCCGTATCGTGGGCCTTTGTAAAAAGCACGGAAGCCAGCGCGCCTCCGCCGAGACGGGCTCCTGCCCTTAAGGCCTCAGAGGTGGCCACTCTAGAGCGCATCGCGCTGTCTGGCTCCATGCACGACAGTGTCGTGTCTGGGGGCTTGTTGTTCATGCTCTTTGCATGCGCCCGCGCCAGCGACGCGGCTCGAGTTGTCTCTTTCTCCGTCGAGCTCCCAGAGGACCCCTGCGCCACAGTGTGGATGCAGGCGAGCGTGTGCAGAAGGCGAAAACCGCCGTAGGGGCTAGAAGCCGCCTGCTGCTACCGCTGGTAGCCCCGGTGGTTTTCTTCGAAGAGTCGTGGGTGAGCCAGTGGCTCGCCAATCGAGAAAAGCTGGGTCTCAGCTCCAGCGGAGAAATCCCGCTCGGGTCAGTGATCCCTGCCTTCACATCAGATGGTGATCTAGCCGATCGCCCTAATAACCTCCTGGCTGCGCAGCGCGCTGTCCAACGCTCGATGCGAAGGCGCAGAGCGCCTCAGCAGTCACAGTCTCAAGGCGACGTGCCTCACCTGGGCCTCGCAAGCCGGCGTCAACTTGG